ACGAAATAATTAACACGTTCAGTGGCGGTTCCCATATGGAAATTACACTTCGTGTGACACTAGGATTTTATTGTGGAAATAGATTCGTTATTGCTTTAGGTAAGTGATTTATTTGAAATTTTATGTGAAAAAAAATTATAATGTCCTTTTTTTTTACTACTTTTGATGACGCCGATCAGCGTCCTGTCACGCTGTCAAGGTATATTAACATTTGTCTTAGCAAGACGCAGAACGGCGTTATGAATAAAAACAAATAAAAAATGCAAATAAAATAATTATTCAAAAACAAAAGAGCTTCTATCATAATAAAAAAAGCCTTATCATTACAACTGGATTCTATCAAAAGTGTGACATCTAATTGTAATGCCACCCCTCAAAACAGGTAGGGCACAAAGATGGCTTTCCAACACATCCCTTGCATCGGAAACTGGTTTCGCGGCGTGTGTTTTTCATAGTACACAGTTTACACTTTCGAAAAACAGACTTCTTTCCAGACTCAGGTCCTGGGAGACCAGGAATTTTCTTGGGCCAATGACCTAAGTTTTCTTTTTCTTCAGAATTTTGAAATTTTCTGCTACTGTATCTGCTTGTTATTACCAAGCTCTTTGTCTCGATGTTTTCGGGCAGGTTTATCAGGCACTTGATCAAATCATCCCTGAATTGAATAAAAGAGTATTTTTTATTACCGCCTTTGAAATACTTTCTGTAAAGATAGATGCCATTCCATACTGACACGTCTAATAAATGGAACAGAACTTTTTTGTACCATCTAAGCGTTTTGCGCGGAGAAGAGTAAGTGGAAGTCATTTGGTCGCATCTATCGATCCCGGACATGTGATCATTATAGGTTACAACTTCTTCACGCTTCAAATATTCTTTTCCAAATATGTTTGAACGTGTCACCAAGCGTGGATGGTTCCGAGTTGTAATCACAAGAACATCTCTCTTGTCCTTCCATTTCGAGACATATACGTTTCCTATACGTTGCCAGATATGTTCTCCCTTTTTGAGTTTAGATGCCACAACTTTTTTGGGATAATTTTCTCGATTAGCCCTTGGGGTTCCGTTTGTGTGTGTTCTCAACGTCAAAAGCTTCTTTGATAACTCGTAGCTGTTGTAGTAGTTATCCATAAAAATGTGGTGTCCTTTCATAATATAGGGCTTCAGCAGTTTTAGTACGAGAGCGGTGGTTTTACTGACATTATTGGCAAGCGCTACAGCCTGAGCTCTACTATACATTTCCATGTTTAGAAGATACCCATCTGAAGTGGTTACTTCGAAAAACTTGATGCCATATCTACTTTTCTTTTTTTTTATATACACTCGGAATCCTAATCTTCCACGAAAATGTAAGAGACTTTCATCCAGAGAAAGTTCCTTGCTTGGACAACATATCGAGAAGGGTTTGCACTTTGTCTTTGGATCTCGAACCAGGAGGGGAACAGAGGATTTGTTGGTAGCGCCTTCCAGACATGGTAAAAGTGAACACTGGATGATAATACAACGGATCCGAATAAGAAAAGTAGCGTTTCATATTTTTCGAAGATATCTGGCCTTGAAGCAAGCATAAGCCAAGAAATTTCTTCATTTCTTCAATTGGAATGGGGCGGAAATTCCCGTCTCTACTATGTCTACTTTTTGGTCTGTTCATGTTGACTGAGCTATTTCCATAGTCGTTTGAGCATTGTAAAATATATGTCTGTATTTCTGGAGTGAACAGTTTTTCAAATACCTGGAGTGGGCTGGAGTTATCATCAAGGGTGATTTTCAAACAGTTGCCAGCTTCATCGAAGTCAAACTCTGGTATATCTGTTGTTGTGTCTTCCCAATCGCTGTCCCCATTGTTTTGAGTTTGCTGAACAAACAGTGTCCGTGATGAACTTGGAGAAAGGTCTTGATCACTATTAGGGTCAGACCACAAGAAACCTTGTGTCTGGTTGAGAAACGTTGAAGACACCTTCATAATATGGAACCATGGAAATACTGAACTAGATGCCTTCCTGAAATACATCAACAGCGTAAGACCTTCCATCACTTTCACAATGAAGAAGGAAGTCCACAACGAATTGCCATTCTTAGATGTATTGGTGAAGAGCACCGACACCAAGTGGGAAACATCTGTATACCAAAAACCCACCCACATGGGCAGTATCTGAACCATGAATCCAACCACCAACAATCGACTAGAAGAGGAATCATCAAAACTGTATTAGATCATACTTTCGGACTCTGTAATACAAAGAAAGGTCTCGTGACCTTCAACGGAAAGATTGCTCCAAAGCGATGGTGGAACAGACTTTGGCTAAAAGACAGCAGGAGCCTCGCAAGGAAGAGAAGCGCTAAAAGACAGCAGGAGCCTCGCAAGGAAGAGAAGCCGTCACAACCAGTGCTTCCACTTCCCTATATCAGAGGAGTATCGGAAAGGATAAGAAGAATTGGCCATAGAGGCCATTGAATGTTCGTATTGCTGAGCACCAGAAATACATACAGCGAAGGGAAACCAGCAAATCACGAATAGCAGAACATGTTTAAACCCATAACATCGAGACGTCCCAAGCTGAGATCATATACAGGGAGAAACATTGGTTCAGAAGGAAATTATAGGAAGCTGCATACATGTTGTCCAACAATGTATGCAGCCAAGCTAGCGTAGAGATACGCAACATATAGGAACCCATAATCAAGCGAAAAATGGCCAACTCCCGTCAAACGGCCATCTCCCACTTAACCGGTGAAGCGTAAAAAGGAAAGCGGAGATCTTTCGAAGGAATTAGTCCAGTCATCACCCGAAGACGATTTTGGATACTCACAATCGAAACATCGTGAAGTAGCTTGACTTAGAATCTCTCAACTTTTAATTTTTTGATCTTTATTTTTTGTCCAATTGTTCTATGTCTGGTTGAGAAACGTTGAAGACACCTTCATAATATGGAACCATGGGAATACTGAACTAGATGCCTTTCTGAAATACATCAACAGCGTAAGACCTTCCATCACTTTCACAATGAAGAAGGAAGTCCACAACGAATTGCCATTCTTATACGTATTGGTGAAGAGCACCGACACCAAGTGGGAAACATCTAAGAGAGGAATCATCAAAACTGTATTAGATCGTGCTTTCGGGCTCTGTAATACAAAGAAAGGTCTCGAGACCATCATTAATAGTGACCTTCAACGGAAAGATTACTCCAAAGCGATGGTGGAACAGACTTTGGCTAAAAGACAGCAGGAGTCTCGCAAGGAAGAGAAGCCGTCACAACCAGTGCTTGCACTTGGATGTGACGGATGAGGATGAGAAGAATTGGCCATGGAGGCCATACAACGGAGGGAAACCAGCAAATCACGAATAGCAGAACATATTTAAACCCATAACATCGAGTGGTCCCAAGCTGAGATCATATACAGGGAGACACATTGGTTTAGAAGGAAATTCAAAGAAGCTGCATACATGTTGTCCAACAATGTATGCAGCCAAGCTAGCGTAGAGATACGCAACATATAGGAACCCATAATCCAGCGAAAAATGACCAACTCCCGTCAAACGGTCATCTCCCACTTAACCGGTGAAGCGTGAAAAGGGAAGCGGAGATAAGTGAAAGTACTCGAATGACCCATAAATAGTCATCTCTCGGAGGAATCAGTCCAGTCATCACCCGAAGACGATTGTGGATACTCACAATCGAAACGTCGTGAAGTAAATAAAAGTAAA